CTCGCGCCCCTCCAGACGTCTTCGTCAGGACCCGCTCCTGAGCTGGGACCTCCGCGCCATTCCTGTCCCGCGCCTCTGCTCCCCTGCGACTGGCTCCCTCGGGGTGCCGCTTCATTCAGCTTCAGGTAAGATCGCCACCCTTCTCGTTAAATTAAAGACTCGAGATGATTTTTAATATTTTATTTGCAGCCCCGGAGCATCTCGTCGTGCTGCAGTGACCTACGGCCGTTCTTTGGCCGTACGCAAGATGCAACGACGTTCGATGGCTTCGCCTCCCGCTGGTCTCACCTTCGCCACCACCCGGTGCTTAGACAGGAGCACGAGCTCTCAGCCTCTCACAAACACGACTCCGCGGGCACAGCCACCGTTGCTCGGCCCGTGGTGGTCTCCCGGGGGAGCCGCCACGCTCAAAACCAGCAGGGTTTTGCTCGCTGTGCAAGCGGTGCTCGCCGCGTGGGGGGAAACGTCGGCGCTCGTCGTTACGTGTTCGGGGTCTTGTGTCTGAAGCTTTCCCCCGGCTCCCCTGCCGAAAGCACACGCTGCATCTCCGAGGCTGGCTGGAGCCAGCTAGGCTTGCGCTTTTAGGCGGAGTTTACCTTAATTCTAGTTAAATCTGTTTTAACGAGAGCGCTGAGCAAAGACTGCGATCACAGGGGTAGGAGCCACCTCCCCTCGTTTAGATACTTAGTGATTGGAGCTGGGAATCACCTCAGATGTCTTCAGGGGAAGGATTTATCTCCTTAAATTTAAATAAGCACAATGCCACCTCTACGCATTGACTGGGTACGTGGGCTCCCTTTATGGCCAGGGAAGGATTGGTCGAGCCCGTCGGTGGGGTCCGGTGTGGCTCACGGCGAGGCAGGCGCCTGCCTTTTGTCAGCTGAAGAGATCAACAAACTCTGCTGATTGTATCGTGTATATCACGTTATTATCTTTTTATATTATTGATATATAATCAATATGATCACGTTAGTGGTAACGAGATCTTAGCTCACAAATAGGTAACAGCAGTCACTCAGATTTGGGTCTTCAGACGGGCTGAACTTAAAAGAGTGAAACGAATCCCATTTTGGAGGTCTCTAGCTGGTGGGCAAAAAAGGCACAGAAACAGAGAAATGGATTTTTTTCCCTTCGATCAGAAAGGAGTTGAAGACTTTGGCTTACAAACATGGAGGGAGAAGCTGCACTGGGGTGGTGACTCCTCTCCATCGCATGCTGTAGAGATATATTGAACCCGGAGCACAACCCGCTCCTCTCCAGGCTAGCTGGAAGCCAAGTTACCTTCAATTTCCCTTAGTTCAGAAATGAGAGGGAGAGTCTTGGTTTGGCCTTACTCTCTTTAAAATCAATGGCCGAGGAATCTCTTGTTTTCAAAAGAGAATTGGGAGGTATTATAACGGCTCATTTTAGACGCAGTTACTGCCCCGGAGCAAAACAAAACAGGTCCTAGTGGAAGAAGCAAGGACACCCTCTCCGAACACTGGTGGGCTCCTCTCTGCGTCTGCCTTTACCACCATGTGCGGCTCAGAAAGACATTTTGAACCCAAGAGAGAGAGGTTTGCATTTTCCACATTTCTTGAGAAAGAGGGAAAGTGAAAAAGGGAAGGTTGGGTTGAGCAAGGACAGAGAGACACAGGAGATGGGACTAATCTCAGCTGGCTTTAGACACCTGCAGTGTCAGCACGTGCAGTTAAGGCAGTCAGACCAGAGCAAGGGATGCTTCTGTGCCTGATAAAACGGGCTATTTGAGATGGGACGGATGATGTTTTACACTGCGCAGACCGGCAGTGGTGTCGAGAACGGCTGGTTCGGCTGTTGTTAGATGGAATGTGTGTGTTTGAGGTGTCTACACTCAGTCACATAAATACCATACGAGGTGAAGCAGGAAATTAATGAGGACGAGGAGATGAACATCCAGTGTGTGAGATGTTAGCAATGGGAAACAGCAGCCGCCGCCTTCCCCCTGCCCAAGGTGGGTGTAGACAACTGCAGTTGGGTCTCCTGATGAACCCATTTAAAGGTGTTAAAGCAATTTAGAACAATCCCGTCTGCAATCAGCTGCTCTTTTCTACAGGGAACAAGTCACACTATCAGTTCCCTTTCCTGCTTTCACAAGCACCAAACACCCATCCTGGGGATATTTTACTTCTGAAGCACATGATGCAAAACGGCTGTTCAAAGGCAGCTTTTTTTTTGTCCAAAATGAGCAGATGGGAATCATATAAACTTCAAAAAGGGAAAATGCTAGTCTTGCCCATGGGGAAGAACTGCCCCAGGCACCAGGAGAGGCTGGAGAGCAGCTTGGCAGAGGAGGATGTGGAGGTTCTGGTGGCCACCAAGTTGAAGAGCCATCAATATGTCCCTGCAGCACAGACGCCCGCCAGCACCCGGAGAAGAGCGTTGGCAGCGGGTCAAGGGGCTTTCTGCAGTGAACCTCTGACCTACAGCCTGAGGAATGGGGAAGTAAAAGCTGCTTGGAGAAGGGCGATGGGAGAAGAGGAAACGTCCTGAAGAAACGGTCATCTCGTCGGTGCTAGGAAACGGACAGCAAGGCTGGTGGAAAGAGGGAAGTGAGAAGGAAAGAAATAATAATACTCATCTCTCAAACAAGCAATACATGTATTTTAAGGTCATCTCTAGTGGATAACACGAGAGAGTCATGTCTTTTTTTTTTTTTAAAATCATGAATAAGAACAGAGGAAGAAAAATAGACCAGGTAAGATTATAGTGATAGTGAACACCAAGGTGTGTGACCAGCAGATGGGTAGCAGGGAAAAAAAACCCAAGGAAAAAAAAAGTACCGATTGTAATACATGCACCTAATTGCAAATATCTGGAAGAGAGCTGCTTAAGTCCGAGTTCACTGTCCCGACACATGTATGGGTGATGCATCCTACCCTTGGAGACAGGCTTTTGGAGAGGTGCGTCCCTGTGAATGCTGCTTGTAGGACCTGCTCTGAGACGCTACCTCCTGGGAAGCGACGGTCCAAAACCATATTGAAGAGTAAATGGAAAATGACGTTATCCTGAAAAAAGAAAATGACAACATAATGGTGAATTGATATCTGCATTTTGGTCCACTTTTTCTTTAATATTTCCACACCTGCTTTATGGAAATACACAGGACAAAAGAAAATTAATCCAACTGATCATTTCAAATATAAAGCGACAATTTCCTTAAATTAATCCATTACTTAGAGTTAGCTTTTTTTTTTTCTCTCTCTCATGTTCCTGGAGTATAAAAATAATCTTTCCAATTCAAGTCTTCAGCAAAAATGCTTTGCCTTGCGTTCCACTCCTCATTAAAAAGCCGTGTACACAAGTCGAATTGCTCAGGCTCTGCAGACATCATTTCTGATGTGCCTTGGGGATCCCATCCCTAAAACCTTGGAGAGGAATCTCGGTGTTTATCCCAGGCTCTTTGGGGAAGGCGCACTCTGTTTCCAGGTGCACAGAGCCCCTTCGGGATTTTGTCCTGTGGGCGTGGGGTAGAACTTAAATCTTCCAGCCACGTTGGAGGCCACCATGGGGAAACCTTCAGTTTCGGAAAGACTGAAGGAGCCTGTGTTTTAACTTCAGCTCAAGGGCCAGTGAGTTCTTCTTCTTCTCTTTCTGAGAACGACTTGAGATACCATTAACCAGAGGGAGGGTGAAATTTTGGGAAGTTCTGAGACAATTTTTTGCTGGATGGCGAAGGGCTTCCTTAACCAGTGCGTCCATGCCCTGCAGAAGCAGGAGCCTTGCCATGATGTAATATTGAAGTCCTTCCCGAAGAAAACATACCCAGTTCATCTGAATCCTAATTCCTAGCTCAAATTTTGCATAGAAATTCCTGATATTCGCAGACCCAAGGGGTGCAAGGAAGATGACATGCAAGGAGAATTCAGATTAGATGGGGACGTTTTTCTCTTGAAGCTACACGTACGTGAAATTGCAAGCAGGTATGCTAGTCTCATTTTAATTGTCTCAAACATATCACTACGGAGTCAGAAAATCATTCCAACGTGATCTGTTATCTATTTAATGCACACTAATTAATGTGGCAAATTAAGGCACAATATTATTGTATTTACTTGTCCCTAAATAAGGACACTTTCCCCACAACAAAGTGAAAGAAATCCTTCCAAACATGCCTACATGTTGGAAAGAATTTGGATGTTCATGAGAAGACATCATTTGCAAGATCTTTTGCAAGACCGATTCTTTCCGTCATGTGCCTAACAGAGCTTTAAGATTTAAGCTTTAGGATATTTTTCCATATTACGATCTATTGGCTATTATTTTGTCAATATATTATTTTTCAGTATATTCTTTTGGCTCTTCAACCTGCCCACTGAGGATAGCTACTGTATTTTTTCTCCACATAAGTGGGTGTATTCATCCAGGAAACACCAAATCCTGTGTTAGCCTCAGGCACTACATACTCCTGCAAGCTGGAAGAAATTATTTCACCACTTTCCTGTGTTTCTTTGTCTCCTCTGCGCTGGAGCCAGGAGAATGGCTGGGGGCAACTACTCAAGTGTCACCGAGTTTGTCCTCTTGGGCTTCACTGACCTGCAGGAGCTGCTCTTTGTGATTTTTTTACTCATCTACATCACCACGCTGGTGGGGAACCTGGGGATGATCGTCCTCATCAGGACCAACTCTCAGCTTCATGTGCCCATGTACTTCTTCCTCAGCCACCTCTCTTTCCTGGACATCTGCTATTCTTCATCCATCACACCGAAGCTCCTGTTGGGTCTCCTTGCAGAGAGAAATGTAATTTCTTTCAATGGTTGCATCACACAGTTTTTCTTCTTTGTGGTATTCGGCACCACAGAAGCCATCCTTCTGACCGTCATGGCCTACGATCGCTACGTGGCCATCTGTGAGCCTCTGCACTACTTGGTTGCCATGTCCCGTGGGGTCCGTGTCCAGCTGGTGGTGGGCTCCTACGCTGCCGGGAGCCTGAACGCCCTTGTGCACACCAGCGCTCTCTTTCGACTCTCCTTTTGTGGCCCAAATCTCATCAACCATTTCTACTGTGAAATCCCACCACTCCTGCTACTCTCGTGCTCCAACACCTGGCTCAACGAGATGGTGATGGCCATGTGTGTTGGCTTCATCATAACAACCTCAGTCTTGGCCATTGTTGTCTCCTATGCCTGCATCCTCCTCACCATCTGGAGCATCCGCTCTGCAGAGGGCAGGCACAAAGCCTTCTCCACCTGCACCTCCCACCTCATGGCTGTTGCCCTCTTCTATGGCTCTGCGGCTTTCTTGTATTTCCATCCCTTTTCCAGACACACAGAAGATCAAGGAAAAACAGCCTCCGTCTTCTACACGGTGGTGACCCCTATGCTCAACCCTCTCATCTACAGCCTGAGGAACAAGGAGGTGAGGAGCACCCTCAGAAGAACTACGGACAGGCTCCTCTCCTGCATGTACAGCGAACACAGGTCTCACTCTAACCAGACCTAGGTGGGTATCACCCGCCATGGTGGAGTCAGCAGAAGACATGAGGCTGAGACCTGACAGAGGAAGGGTACTGTGTATTTCTGCACCTCTAGTGAGATTCACATGCTCTACCTTGTGCTGAACACCAGAGTTTGAATTACGAATTAATTCCATGTTGGGGTCCCTTGAAAAATAAATTACCTGTAAATTCAATGTCTGAAAGAAGGAGAGAATGCAGGAAAGACAAACAATCCTAAAAACACTTACATTGTCAGTGAACATTTTGGAGTAGACAAAACAAGCAGTGCCTGAACATGCATGCTTGTTACTTTTTTAAAAAAGAGGATTTAATGCAATGTTGTGACACTATTAAATTCTCTGGCTTGTGAGAGGTGGCATAGAGCAGAAGGGGAACAAGCTAAATAAAGACTACTTGTTGAGGGGCCAACAACGTCTTTTATAACTTTGTTTTCAGATTTTCTAAGAAGTTGCCTAAGGTTTTGCTTTAGTACAATAAACCTGATTTATCGTTTTCTCTGATTTGTCCAAGGGTAATCTTTATGGGGCACAGCCCCTCGCTTCATATATATTGCACGCAGACCACCTGTGTTGGGGATCTTGCTTTCCTGGGTGGGTCTCCCCCATGGATGTCTACCAGCCTGGAGCCACCACGATGACATGCTCCTTTGCGTAGGAGCAAGGTGGAGTTTGACCCCCTGTGACAAGTGACAAGTCACTCCACTTGGCCAGGAACAGTCTTTCAAGACATTGTCTGAGCAGTCTTGGCTTTTCCCAAGACGTCACGTGGTGTTGACAACGCAGAAAACCTCTGTGCTTCCGGCCATATCTTGTATTCAAACGAGCCCCACTCATTTGATGGCTCCAAGACTCTCAACGTTGGCCAACCCTCCCCGCCCCGCCATCTCCTCTCCTATTTATGTGTCTCCATCCAGGTTTATTTTCCATCCCAGCTGCAGCTTATTAATAATTTCTGCTTCCAGGTTTCAGAGGTTGAGTCATGTCGGTCCAGGAGTCATCCGATCTAACTGTAGGCTTTCACATCTGCATTAGTCACCAGCAGTTCCCCTTATGGAGACAACTGCGCATTTGGGGGCTTTGATTCATCTGATCTATTTAAACACCTACATCAGGGGGAGGTGAATTTTTCTGGAAGAAGTGCGTGGTTTTCTCCACTTGCTGCTTGGCAGCGAAGGGTGACGGGCCGACACAGCTACACGGCAAACGTGGACTTTGTTCAGAGCAGTCACACTCAGGACATAGACTGAAGAGTCAGTTTAAGCCTAAGGGGAAAGCTTCAGCTCATCGCACTGATGCTTTGGAGTCCCTCAAAAACCCCACTCCAAAGTGAGAAGGTGACACTTGCTTTTCACCAGTAATTTAGAATTCAGCTGAGCATGAATGCTCAGCACCCGCAAACCACTTGCTGGGAAGTACGGGATGGAGATAGTGTCAGAGCTACGCTTTCGCTTTGATTTAAAGGTCATCAATACCAGGTATTAATTCCTGAAGAAAGGTTTATATTTTCCATGGATGGATAGGGAATAATTCCCTAGAAGATCTGATTGCAGACACCG